ATTGCCTTTCGACCAGCTCCAACTAGAGGTTCCCAAAATAGTCACGCGAGATCAAAACAGTTTTTGGTAAATTACACGTTTTGATATTGTAAAAAAACGTCGACTGCTGATCAATCTAATAGGTTGAAGTTAGGTTTTTTTTTTTATACAGAAACCAATAATTGTCTGGTATGCATCTCGTAACTGAATTACGAAACAGACATGGAACTGGATATCGGACGTGTGTGTGGAATAGTAAGTCCTCGGCTGTTCCATTGATCAGACCGCTCCCCACACTTCCCCAGACACCAGCCACAGTAATCCAATCTAAGGTGCACTGCCCTCAGACCCTTACAGTCGTCTACTACTGCTGCCAAACTTTTCCGCACATACTGTGTTTGAGAACCATACCACTTGTACAGTTATAGTCTGACAAAGGTCGTTCGAGTCAGATCCGGCAATTACGTACCTGTTCAGTCCTGAGAGAGTGGAGCTATCTTATTGGACTTCTGTTGTACCTAATAGGTGTCAACATTGGTCCTACGTGAGACCGGAACCGTTTCACACGTCAGAACCGGATGTGGTATAACATTTCTATACGAGTGATACAAAGTGATGTTTATGGCTTATTACGGATATATCAATCGTCTTATCGCTCTATACAGGTAAGTCATATAAGATTTTTGGTTACACAAGATACATGTTGTTCCTTAAGGACACACTTTGGCATTGAACAGGATTTCTGTCAAAATTATGACGTACTGTAATGTGTTTGACTCAGGATCCTTGGAATAGACACTGGGCCTTGTTGATTCTGTAAAGGAATCAGGCAGCTCCGATTTCAGATTGCCGAGTTCATCAAACCTGGCCAGTAGAGATTAGCTTTATAGGACTCCATGTGAAAAAGCCTCCGTTATCGGCAGGTGCATTCAGAGACAGAAAAAAACCCCATATGAAATTCAAAATCCTTGATCCCTCATAGTACATACACTGTATCAGTCTCTCTAAGTGCGGGGTTTTCAACATGTCATATTTCACGGTGGTAGGTCATACATTGGGTTCCTGTTAACGGCAGACTACAAACCTGTCAAGCATAATGTCCCTCAATTAATACACAAGCTTTAGAACCATTTGTATTACAATTACCGAAAGTCAGAGCTTGTTAAACCACCTTATGATATAGGCAGCACCACTTTACATGTTTGGCTCATTAGTATAAAATAAATAAATATTTTTTCACTTCAGTTATATTGATATACGTATAAATAAATTGATTGTTTTTTTTTTAGATAGTTTAGCTATTATCAAATTTATTCAACAAATACCAATTAATTTAGAAATTAAACACATAACTCTAAAATGACAAAATTCTTGTCCAAGTACTTTAAAAGTGTTCACGATTTTTTTCCCATCGTTCTCTAGTTTATTTCTAGATGCCCAACTATAGTTCAATAGTTTTAATTATTTTATGCATTCTTTCGACATGATGCCTTGAAACATAACTCTAAACGGTGGTTTTCGAGTGAATATGTAAAGAGGATAAAACATGTGCACGCACTTTGTCCTGCCTCATTTTCAAAACTTATAATTTTATGTTCCAATATTTTGGCGCAATATCATGACATCATGCATTATGACGTCATATTATTTTGTAACGTTATAAAAAGACGCCATTTTTTCCAAGCTCCGGGGATTTAAGCTGTACACGAAAGGGGTCTTCTTGAGTGAGTTGAGTGCTTTACAAATGTTTTCACAAAGGTAAATTATCATAATAGACAAACATGGCGACTGAGCATATCCGTTTTTGGTGACACATCAAGTTCCCATAATGCTTTGCTGGTAGAATCTAGGTATGTTCTTTCTCACTAGTGGATTATTGTGCTAAAATCAAGAAAAACAGAGCATATATCGCCATTTGGGCATTGCAAACAATTCATATTTACCGATTCCCGGACTTATTTCTTTTGCCAAAATCAAAAAATCAAGGCAAACATTTGAGTTATCTCTGGTAATTGTTGGAAAACATTATAACAAGGCACATAATTGTCTCGAACCAACAGTGCCAGGTTCATTGTATATTTGACTGAATTGAAACCTAGAACGGAAATGGGTATAGCGAGTTATGTAATTTCGTGAATCACAAGATAGCAATCGAAACAACACGTAAAGAATTGAAAGTTTTGTGATATATTTAGTACCATAGATATTAAAAGAAAACGAAATGCACTGGTGTTAGGCATCAGTTGAGATTCTTAATATAAAACAGCTCTTTGATAGAAAGCATGCATTGGCTTTGGCAAAGATGGAAAGAAGAAAAAAAAACCATTAAGAACTGTAAACATTGTTTTACAAGAGAAAGGATAGTTGTCGTTGTGAAGTCTGCCAAGGTTTAACAGAGCGTGTGTAATTTCATTCTGATTGGCCAGGACTGTAATAGAAATTTTATGATGGCAACATCAAAAACATCCCACGGAGTTTGGGATTGGGAGGGGCTCAAACAGAACGAATATTGAGATTGGGGGTAGTGTATTAGTAGCATATATTTAGAAAAAAATAACCTTACATATATTCGTGTTTTATTATTGAAATCGACGAGGATGTTAGCGCCATTGCCTTGGAAACAAACCTCTCGCGGCAAGCTAAATCATCTAAAACCCCATGTACGCGCCGGAGGTGTTTTGTAGATATGGTAGATAGATACTATTTACTTACTCATCACTATTTATACACTGGTGGTACATGAATGTACGTACATTTCGTGTTCCTCTCGCGCGTAAACAGTGGTACTGCTACAAACAAGCGCCAATGGCTGCTGGTATCACACTCTCATTACTTACACATCGGTCACGCTACTTTACTTCCTTAGTTTCGGGTCATACTTATCTAAAATTGTTTTCCATAGATGTTGATTTAGGCTACAATAACACTTAAATTAGCCACTAAACATGGCTGAAGCCTAAATGTTCAAAGCATTGTCACTTTCTCGGGATAGAAGTATTCAAATCAAATTACTCAGGACAATATAAGCAATGCAAAGTCGAATACACCAATATTACGACATTGCCTCTTAATGTGTTTGGTGTAAGAGTTTTGTCAAGTCTTTGATAATTGGATAAAGACCAACTATTATGCATGATATATGCCATTTGTTTGTGAGGTAAGCTGGCCGGGTATCGAGACGAGGCTAGAGTGATGTAGGTGGGTAAGTATATAGTCCGTGGTAACACACACAGCTGTCAAATTACCGACTTCGCCACATCGTCAGAAGTGTTATAAGACAAACTTTGCTTTTATTTAATCGCCCATGACGGTGTTTGATGTCCTTTGCACATCTACATTTTATTCAAACGACTCCAAAATGATTTTCTCTGTTTTATTTTGTCTGCATTGGAGCGTTTGGTGGGTGTTGCATGGCTGATGCTTTGGTTATATGTTTGGCATTGGAGTGAGGTGAGTGCTATATCCCTGGAATTGACATAGTATACATGTACAATAACCAAGCGTTTGACATTGAAATAGGGGTGGATACTAGGGTCTTGATCTTGGCGTTGAAGTGTTGGTGGATAATAATAAAATATATCAATCATGTGTGATGTAGACAGAGAAATCTCATCCCGAGCGTGTGTGCCGTCTTCGCCAGGTTTAGCTTTTCTCTAACAATAACGGGGATGCACATGTGAAGTGTGGGAGGACTATGTTGGTTGGATGGTATGGTCTAGTGTCTGATATTGAGTAAGGACTTTTATACGGTCACATGACTTCGCCTAAACTTACTTGCTTGGGAAAGTTTTTTTTGTGATATTGCTGATACTTCTATAACGTATGTCGTGGATAGGTTTACAGTGTTTCAAACACTACGGTATCATCTACCGTCGTTTTTCATTGGTCGATAAACATTAATGGCCGACGAATTCATGCACGTGACCAGATATTATGCTTAATTATAATGGACCGGAGAAAGACATACTAACCGAAATTAAAGTCGATCATTGTTATATATCATATCACTGTGTTTTATCAGTGAACAAGATGGAACTATTCACAGTGCGTAATAGGCAGAGAGCATTGCGACTTTACAATTGGAATGACGTCATAGAATATCAACCTACAGTACCCAAAAATATCAACACCGAGTCAATGTCACAAGTGACCGACCTTTACGTAATTATGATCTAACCAATGAGGATGTCGGAAAAATAAGTCATTTGATATAATACGGACAGGGGTTACTCGGAATACACAAGCTTAACCACTTCGTAAAACCTATTTTTAAATGAACCTAAAAAGAATAACTAGGACGTGAATGTAGCGAGATGTTGAGTAATTATCTTACTGTTTATGATGAGGATTGTATGTTGTTATGGTGAGCAGACACAAGTTCATGGGGTGATGATGAACCCGATCAAATAAGCTGTTGTTGAACAGTTGTGTTGCATGTGTCTCAATAGCAACCGTTTCACCGTTTAAATGATAATGCAAAGATTTCACCCCCATTTATTTAATATGACGTGTTATCAATCTTGTAACAAAAAGGGTTCTCTTTACGTTTGGTAGTGTTATTGAGTTCCAACTTGATTACAATGGAATTAGTGTGATGATTGACGTGTATATCATCCCATCAAAGTAAAATGAGAGTACAAATACCAGACTTACCGACAGATTGTCCTGTTAATCTAAATGTGAAAAATGTATGCTTGAAAAATTTGCAACATTAACTTTTTCATATCAATTTATAAAACAACAACATAATCTTGAATGTTAGAGTCAGCTAATTATAGAAGGTTGTTAATTTTCAGTTACATATGTTACCGTAGCAGTATTTAAACGAGTAGTGAACATAATGTGAGAATATCCTGAAATTAAAATATATGTATGTATACAATGTATTAAAACAAAACTTGTTCAAAATTATCCGTAGTAAATATACGATCGTTAACTATGCCTTAATCGATTCTAGGATGTCGTCGCAAATATTTGAAAATGTTTCATTCGTTATTCATATTTCTTCCTTTTTGTTTCAGGATACGGGACGAATGATGACCAATGACATGGCTTCTACAGTTGAAGTACCAACTAAGTAACCTTGACAGTGGTTAATGGGTTAATGTCAAGCGGAGTTGTTGGCCTTTGGAAGAACTCTTTTTTTCTACGACGGCAGAGTTATAGAGTTACTAGACAGCATAGCCAATAGACTTGCTAACAACCGTAGCATTCATCATGCATACAAAAAGTGCAAACCTGGAAAACTCATTGGAAACTGCTTAGCCCTTGAGACGTGTGATCACATTTGTAAAGTGCTGTATCAAGATTTAGACAAGATAACAAGTGCACGTGAATTTGGAGATATATGATTGGAGGAAACTTAAGTTTTTTCATTCCCGTTGTGAACGTTATCATCCTGAATACGTCCTGGAGATAAGGTGTGCCTTCCCTGTGTTATACCAACACGTGAAACAGTAGGAACGTTCTTTTTCAAACATCAACTTCTTTTATGCGATTCCAATACTTCTTATATTGAAGACATGCTGACGTCATGGTGTTTAAAAATGGATAGGCCATCATCGGTTGTGATAACAAAGATGTCCTGTAAGATCGTAAGCTAACGCGAGTTGTTGGCATCCTACTGGGACAATTATTAACAGGAAGCCTGAAGGTTTTTCTCTCGAGACAAGATAAGTTTGAGATATACACCAGTTGTGTCATAAATCTCTCCGTACTGCCATCGCCCACCACGGAGAAAATATTACCCATGGTGCCAACATGAAAAACGGACGTCCGATTGATCTTTTTTCGTATGTTCTTAATGCCCTAGCGATGGAGGTAAAATATTAATGTCGGAATAATTGTTGGTTTTAATCTGCATTAAAGCTACCAATTTCAAGATGGCTACCGGTGATAAATTAATGCGAGAAATCAGTGATCAGTTTCTACAGTGTAAGATTTGTTTTGAACCGTTTAAGAACCCCAAAACGTTGGTATGTTTACATACGTTTTGTATAGAATGTCTTCAGCAACACGTGGATGCCGAGGGATCGCGCTCTCGGTTTTCCTTGTACAACCGGTACGTAACGTGTCCAATATGTCGCCGAAAAACGGATATTCCGACAGGAGGAATACGTCGACTCCCGGACAACTTCCTCCTATCAAATCTAACAGAGATCATCGACAGGAGACGACCTTCAAAAATCCCACCGTGTGAAATATGTCATACTGTTCGAACACGCACAAACGATGCATGTGCAAAGTGTCTCGATTGCTCGAAACTTTTGTGTAAGACTTGTGTGACCCTGCACCACGAGACCAAGGTCACACAGCAACACAGTCTTATAGATGTGGAGGGTGAGAAGGACATTGAGTGTAAGGCTCACCCGGAGGAGAACGTGCGCTTCTATTGTGAACCTTGTGATACGTGTATCTGTATCGTCTGCACGTTTCAAGAGCATCGTGACCATGATATATGCTCGTTTAATGACGGTTATGTCAAATATAAAGCTGCCATGCAAGATCTTCTGGACAAGTCTAAAGGTCGGATTACAGACATCACCGATCGTATAGAGGTCATCAATAGGTGTGAAAACGGCATGAAGAGAACCCGCGAGAATATACGAGATTTAGCGATAAGCTATATCCAGCAAGTTAGATCGACGGAGCGAGAACTGCTGAAAAGTGTGGACGAATATTTTGGAGAAAATATTACAGACTTTCTCAAACATCGTGAAAGGTTACAGGAAAACGTAGACGAGCTTCAAAGTGCTTCGAATTTAACAGAAATTATAATGAGAGACAGAGGAGTGGAACTGTTGCTTTTGAAGCGTGAAATGGAAAGCAAGCTTCAATCGTTGATGGAACCAGACCTGCCTAACTTACCGTCCGACGATATGATTGATATACACTTCAACCCCGGCAGTGTCCATTTTGGTTCATTGTCTTTCCAGGAGGACGACAATAAAGAGCAAAACGACTTTCTCACGAACGAAAATTTAAAAAGTAAAAAATCCATGGAAAAATCCGCGACAAGGCCAGAACTTGTAACAAGTGACACACAGACAGATCCGGTTATAACGAGCGAAGAAAGCATGCCGGTAAAAGAACGTCCCGTGAAAACACGTGACATGGGTGTGACTGTAATTACTAATGGGTATGCAAATAACGAAAACGGTGAAAGGACATCCTCGCGAAAACGACGCTCAACCGACAATGCGACCTGCAACGGAGTAAAGACGTGTAATCAGGAGACCTCCACGACTGTGACGTCATCAGATGTGGCTCTTAACACACAGGCTATCCCTATGATTCACAAGGGTCTGCAGGTATACAGTGACCCGGGAACGCCGGGATCTGGAATATGTGCTAAGTGTTGCGAGGACCTGTCCACTACTGCGCCATTCGTTGGAGAGGCGCCAAAGATACAGGACATCATCATCCTCAATACCACGGACAATGATAGTCGGGATTCAAGGAGACGCAGGCGACTTCTAATACGTAGCAAGCGGGTACAGACCGACCTCACGATGACGGGAGGCAACCTCTTGGAGGACAAGTCCAAGTCGCTGCCAATGTTGGCGCAGTTGCCAAACAGGAGCCTGTCATGTGAGGATACATCGTTTTCAAGACCAGAAATGCGTAACATCGCTTTGGATCCCATAAACTGTGACGATCAAGGAAGAAGATTTCGCCGTCGGATGCGCGATAAGACTACGATGACTATCGAAGAAGATAAAAAAGTGGTCGAAACATGTGACGCTACGACATACACGTACCCTTCCAGACTCAGAAGTTTCGGGACGTGTACTCGCGTGGAGATGAGTACTGTGGATACTCAGACTTTCAGGGTCAATCAGGTATCTCGGTCAATGGGCACGGACTATGCGGGTCAGATTGACCAATGCATTGGAACAAGTATGATTAAGATGATAGACAGCGAAACCACCATGCCCTCGGTCGTACACGACAACAAGGGAACGTGGACTGAGGCCCTCAATACATCAGAACGATCAATGTGCACAGACAATTGTGAAACAACAGAAACAAGCGTTGAGACGATGAAACCGGAAGTATGTGATCAGGGATTCCAGGTAACTCCGCACACCAAAGATTCGAACACAAGTCCGATACCAATACCACAACGGGACCAAATCATGCAGGTATCAATTGACGAACTCGAACCGCCTTCCGCTAGTCCCAATAGGAAATCGTGGCACGCGGGAACTAGCATATTTTCCAAATTGTTCAAGAGTAAAGGCCCCAGCGCTAACAACAGTGAACATGACATACTCGCGTCCGTGTCGAGTGACATACAGTCACAAGACGCTAGCACAGAGACCGTATCTGTTCTTTTGTGTGACAAGGAGACGGGGACACCCCGGACAACAACCTCGGATAACTGGACTATCACTCCGACCCCTGTAATGGTCAATACGGGTATATCACCAACACGTCCAGCCACGATGGACACTGGCGTGGAGACCACGAAAGTGACATCAATGGACCAAGCCACATATACAGAGACCAAGCAGTACAGGGACAGTGAAACGGAAACCATAGTGGTTGTCCAGGATAACGAAACCCTGACAGAGAGGGTCAAAATGCAGGACGCGCAAACGTCCGTACAGATACCACAGGAGACGGGCGAAACAAATACGGACCCTGTAAGAGTACAGGACGCTACTATGTCCACTGACGAGGACTGGTACGAGAAACTCAAGCCTATGTCAAACTCAGTGTGCACAGAGACTCTACCCCCAGATGTAATGAGTAGTAGTACTAACACGGTCGCCATACAAAACTCTGATATATCGACGAATATATCGTCTGAGGAGCTTGTTCCGCGTATGGACAGCTCGACCACAACCACGCCGACCAACACGCAGGAGAGAGGGACGATGGCTCTGTCTTTCGGACAGACGGCCGCCCCTTTGATCGATGTAAATACGCAGACTTCAGAAATTTGTTTCATCGATAAGTCTGTCTCTACGTCGGTGGAACTAGAGACAATAGAAAAAGATGACGTGGAATGTACTGACATGGCGACCTCTACAGAATCGTTACCCTACATCGGCCTAATGAGCGAGATGGAAGGTGATGAGCTCTTCCTCATACCAGAGTCTGCATTCAACTTAGCGTGTAGTGAACCAATGGAGGATGGTCGGGACCTGATTGAAATGATCGACGACTGCACGACGACGGACCTGGTTCCCCTGACCGAGACCTCGTCACAGACCGTCATATCATCGGCGTGGCAATACGAGGACCCAGACGAGGACCAGCTGTCAGAGTTCGTCAAAACGGAAAAAGACGGCAAGGTCCTATGTGATATCGGAATCAACACGATTCCCAAACTGACTTTCGAAAAACAAACGTCGACAATCGTGAGGCGGAGCTTCTCCCGGGGTACCATGACATTAGATCTGGCAAAGTGCGATAAGTCCACGAGTACATTTAGTCATACACGTCATATAGCTGAGACCTGTTTTGGACAGAAGCCGGTCGGTGATGTCGCTCACAAGGTCTCTTCCACGTGTACCACCGAATTGGTCGACATGGCAACTAATACGGACTCGTCGCTCATGGATGAGCGAATGGCTGCCTGTATTTCAAAACTACGAAATGTGTCCGAAAGGCTTCAAAGTCCAACTGGTAAGGTAGCTCCTGACTGCCCATGGAAACGATCAGATAGTACTTCTTCCTCTGAAAGATCGTTAATGACTGATTCTTTTATCAAAGATGGCGATATATCACCACGGAATACGTCTTCCGATGATGAACGTCGGAAGAACATAATGGACTTAGTAGCACAGACAGAATCATTCAGTAAGCCAAGAGACACTCGGCACGACAGCATGCCGGGAAGGAAAGCTCAGCCTATCACAACATTGAAAGGTAAATTGGCTCCACCAATGGACGATCTAGATCAAAAATCGAAAAGTTTACCTCGCGAATACTCGGACGGATCTCCGAAACTTAGTGGCCGAGTCAGTCCGAGTCGTCTACCCTTGCTCCGCTTTCACTCCGCTCCCGGTAGGATAGCAACGGTTCCTAATAAATCTATGGCAAAGATAAGTGTTCCTCCGGGGTGTAAAATTCCTGTGTGTCATCAGGCTGGGGCGGAGGGAGACAGTGTGAGTGAAACAGCTACAGTGAAACCCAAACAACCAAAAAGTCCACTGCCAGCCATAACTGAATCAAACACCCCTTCGTCAGACTCGGGATCGAATGCTTCTTTCATGTCGGCTGAATCTGAGAATTCGACTGACGGAAACATTGATTTCGCGTCACTTAGGATCAATGTCCCCCCGAACAGGCTGTCTCCATGCGCCTCCTTCTTGACCGTACCGGAGGAGACAACACCGGACGTAGATGGGGAGCCGACCGATAATCTCCACCAGGATAATGTAGACGATAAGAAACCTGCTGGTTTCATGCAGAAACTTTTCTCAAAAAATTCTAAAAAGAAAAAAAATCCAGCAGAGCCGATACACCCGCGTCAGAAAATCAAGCAGCAGCAGCAGCAACAACAGCCTCCGCCGCCGCCTCCTCCGCGGCATTCCTCGGGCAAGAAGTTCGTGAAGCCCCCTGCCGTAGAACAACCGAAACCTAAGTCTCCCAAGCCGAAAAAGAAACAGGCTTTCGTGTACGTCCGTCAGAGGATGTTCTCAATACAACAGGATAACGTGGAGGATTTAAAAGATCAAAAGAAAGATTCGAGTATTAAAACATCACAGACGAGTAGTGAGAAAAGGAAATCAGGGACCAAATCCCAACCGAACAAGTCCAAGTCGGACAGCGACCGTCCTCCGTCCCAATACGACAACCTGTAAACACTGCGGAACAACAACATGGCATGCACAGCCAACTGTGAAGGAGGAAAACCTAACACTTAGTGCACATCCGATCTATATTCTGTTTCATGATATGTAATGAGCATTGATTTACTATTTTAATCTTCGTTGACAAAATTATCGTGGCGTTTTCTGACGCACTCTAATGAGTTGATAGATGTATTTGTTAAAATCAAATTTTTAATATATACAAAAAGTAAATTTCTTATTTCTTAAGTAAAAAAATCCTTAATGAATGTCTAATGAACGCTGTCTTTTTTCAAGTCGAATCAATACTGGACTCATATATACGTTACTTCATGCATCAGATCTCAACCCCCACCCCCATCTGGGGCCCCAACCCGTCAAGATGTTTCGTGACGATACAGAATGTAATAAATGTGATAATGTTTGAGTGGACAACCTATTCTCAATACTGAAGACACCATCAATAAATCATTAAGGATTAGATGTACGTATGCAATTAAATGATAACATCGATATGTTTGGCACCGTCAAATATTAAATAATGAGTAAAAAGTAACTGGCGACTTTGACTGCAAAAGAAACAGATACTTTGATTAGCTCTTGGTGAGGAATCAACTTAGAAAATACTGTTTTATAACATCCTGTATCTATTTCGTGTCTGGACCTACTGAGGCTGAGAAAGTGAAGCTCCGTGACCTGTTAGTGATTTGAAATGAAGTCGGACAGCGTTCGGTTTAACCGACTTAATGTTTCAAAAGATTTCATTCCAGCCAATTGCGAACTACGTCAATCATATGCATAACGATATGGGCAATATATAAAAACTGTTTTAATACATTTGTACCAAAAACGTTTTAGGAACCCTACCTTGTATTGATAGTGTTGGACGATGGTCATTCCTGCTATGTAATTAGGCTAGTATATTATCAGTGTTATTACAATTGGGAGCAACGGGATATCGTATCTACACCGAGGGTTTGTCATGTAAACTTGGAAATTCTGGACACGCCCATTTTACACGTGTATTCAGTGTTACACTTGTATTTTAGTTGCACAATAATTTATACATTGTATTACCATTTTTATACTCTGTAGTTTTTAACATATATACATCCAGCAGGCAATACTACCCAAACTGTGATAGTGTCCAAGCGATTTAGATAGACAATCATTTAACTGTGATAATATATATATATATAAGTAGAGTTTCATTATAGCAGTCACCTGTCTATATACACACTACCATATTAATTTAATTAGTACAAAGAGGTTGTTATTCGCGTTTGTCTTGAACATATTTAAGTTGTGTCATTAGCAAATATTACCTCAATATATATAGCTGTCAGTTTCATAAAGTGCGACATATCGGGGTTTTTTCACAGAAGAAAAAGGTTAAAGTACCTAAATGTGGAATATGCACTTTGTCAATAGGTGATGCTCATTGACAATTGACGATTAAAAAACTCAGAGAATCATGGGAAAGCTTCTTCCAAAATTATTATTTAATTGATATATACTTGATTTCTTCCACAATTAAACCAAATGGAGAATATAAAAGATGTTTTAATGTTGTATAGGCCCAATCCTTCAATGCAATCTCATTAGATGAAAACTTGGAAAATACTGATCAGGGTGAATGGCTTCTTACGTAAGGCAATATATAAGTGCCATATTGGTTGTTAGGTGATAGGAAAATTGTCACCGTGATAAAATTGCATGTAGATACTCAATAAAACATGTATCCCATGCTACATTGGATATGCAAATACTTGTCACAAGAAGACATTGAAGGATCTTGAAGTGTTGTCAATGTTTGGGAAGTTTTCGAAATCGTCAATTCTTTGAGTACAGATTGAAATGTGGGAGTTTTTGAAAATGTAAGTCACATGAGATTTCAGTTTCACGTCTTCAATGTAAAAATATTATACTGTACCATATCCAAACCTGTTCATATCAATAGTAATTGTAAAGATTAAGAATGAGTCGTGTGTGCATGTGCAATCAGTTTCACCTCATCTTACCAATAGGTATTGACATGTTCCGAAAGGTCTTACAAATAAGTATAGACATGTTCCGAAAGGTAGTCCTACACAGAACTGACATTTCCCATTTCCCGAGAGGTAATGAGTTATGACGGTAATATAATATACTTGCAGTATATAAATGTACACCCATTGTTTGTATCTTCAGGGTTTGTAATCAAATTGCTAGTTTTTACAAAGTATATTTTCAATATATAGAATCACACAGCAAAGAGTGTTTGTTATCTCTTAATGTCTAACCGTTAGTAGCAGAGGAAAATCTCAGCAAAATCACGAGGAACACCACGATATCACCTTGCGACGTTTCCTATATATAACTGTATATTGTTTTGTACTAATGTGAAGACAGGTGTCCTGACGAGAGATGGTGATGATGCTTAAACACTAAATATCAGTCAGTCATTGCGAGGGAGGCACGGCCACATAGAGGTGTCCTGGGAAACATGGTTACGCTTTTTCTGATAACGGGTTAATAGTTACCAATAGTAGAGGGTAGAAGGGAGAACAGAGATAATTTTGTCTTACCTGTATATGGAGAAATAATCCATTACTTTCGTTCCTTTACGTAAACAATATAACTATATTAGACAAGTTTGTCATATCAGTTTCGCGTTTGTTACGTCATAATGGATAACAACGACGTGATCGGGAAGTCAGACTCATTTGCTGAATCTGACAATTGGAAAGAAAATCAATTTCTGATGCCCAGAAATGTAGCAGACTGGGACAAAAACTTCGACAATCTCCAAATTTGAAAACCGAGCGGTTACAACTGTCCTATCAACCCTGAGCAATGAAGGAGTCTTACTACCTGTAGCATTTCACGAGAAGAGACAATCATGAATTAAAAGTAAAACCCTCGTAAAAGCCAAATTAAGTATTTTTTATTTAAAAGTAGAAACTCACTTAACAGAAAACACTAGCAATAAGGCTTTTTCAACATCAGGTATAACTCAAATAGACAACACATCGAGAGGAAGTTTATTACATTCCAGATATGTACATGTAAAAGTATTTCATGCAGAGGTATGTCGCATGGACTATCAAACTTTGGATTAGGAAACATATCGGACAGACAATTTTAGTTTTATTTGTCTTATTAAAAACAATAGTTCAATTCTAAATCTGGTAAAATTTGATTATTGGAGAATTTTCATTGGTTATATTGCCTTCTAAACCCACAGTACATGTATAAAAAACGAACTGAACATTTATTCAATGAACAATGCCATTGCTGTGTTTCATAGAATTGTATAACATATCTTGTATTATTGAATGAAATATATTTTTGACATTTCTCCCCACATAAATGTCGAGTTCGCTTGCCATAGCAATGAATTTAAAAGCTGACTTGCATGTATTTGAAAAGGCAGTTGAAATTCACGGATAATCTTGCCAATTAATATACCTATATGACATCCATGTAGTAATTATTTACCCTTACCCGTGCCCATACCTTCTGTCGACGTTAAGGATTATGCCAGATCTTTTGGGCTTTGGTTCTTTAATAGGTTTGGTCTGTTAAACCTTTGAAGTCAAGGTTATGACAGGTGGGTTGTCACAGATCACATGTACGTTCATGCGCGCGTGCGTCACTACAGTGACCTCACGTCGAGTTATAGATAGCGTTTTCCGTTGATATTGATAAATTGTATATAAAGGAGGATGGTGATGTATTTTTGGTAAGTGCATGCATTGCGCCACTGTGGGAGGTTTGTGTACATACAAGCCGTGCAGTATGTACACCAGACTTTACACGACTTATAACAACATTATTAGCGCCCTCTGACGGCAGGGAAGCTGCTCGAATTTCCCGTCTTTCCCAATTTGTATATATTTATCATCCATCTGAAGACGAAAAAAATGATTAAGGGGATAACATACTGGCATGTACTAGTACCTTGAAGCCCACACATTTTGTAATTTTACCCCCAGCCCTCCAAATAATCAGCCAAGGTCGATGGAAGGGCGATAACTCGTATTAGCATGCATGGCGCTAGAATCTAAAATATATAACAGAAAAGTAAACGAATACGTTCGAAACCGCATCAGTCAGTGAACGTCGTGATATATATAGCTACTCTCCTAGGTCTCAGCTAGTTCAAATTACATTGTTATTGCAATAAGAAGACTGTTTAAAGTTGATTTGATTAGATTGTCACAGATGTTACATAGTATTGATAAAATGTATTTACGAGCCAACATTCACGTATATCTCTGCAGAGTATGTTAGTTTCCAACGTGTCCAAACGGTGGAACAGCCATTCATGCGGGAACAAGTCTTACCAGATCCGTCAATCAGCGAATATTTCCGACATAATTAGAATTTGACGTCACGTCATGATTGGTCATCGATTATTTGAAATAAGTTTGATGGAAAGACTGTCGCTTGTTATAGTACATACTGGTATTGGATCAACAGTTTGGTTGGTATGTTTATCTAAGGACAGTAAACAGGAATGTAGACATTTAAGCAAAAACTGCATAGATGTTGCAGACCTACTGGTATAACTGCCACAGTATCGCGGACACACTTAGGGTGCGCTTTTGCGACACATTGTTGGTGCTTGAGTTAAACTAGTAGGTCCACAACATCATTACAGTTTATTGGATATATTTTCGATTTTTTTAAACAATGCATTAAGGGTTGATGTTTTCCATAAAATACTAAATGTCCCGCTGCTAACGCGAGACCAACTCGATAACTGGAACAGCAAATTATGAACACCGAGGTCACGCGCTGATTCACGCAACTATCTAATTCAGTTATTTTGTTTGTTTGTGAAGTAAAGATTTAAGTGTCGGGGAAAGTTTAAAAAAAAACTATTTCCGAGCGCATACTCGCGTAATCGTAATAGAAGTGCTCAGACTATGTTTTCATACACTCAAACAGCAGTAGCAGCTATACTCTCATAAATGAACCCCCTCATATATCCGAGATATGGAAGGGTGTTACCATACTAAATGAAAATACATGGCTATGTCGGGCAATAAACTCGAAATGTTGAGGAGTTGTTCCCCTTGACATGGTATTCAAGCCGGTATGTAATTACATTTACATGGACACCGGAGATATTGTGTCATAGCCTTACTGATGAAAATCATCACGTACTGATATCATTGTGAGTTCATAGGAACTTGGATCTTATTAGTTCACGAATGTTTTTACGTTTCCACAGATAAAACGGTGCTCGACTGTCAGTTAATATCGTTTTTTTGTCTATGAACATGAACAGACCTATGTCTGTGCTCTTGTTAGAAGCATGTAATCTTTGCCCAATTTAATACATTGTTCAACTCAGCTGCATTTAACTTAAGTTTTATATATATCTTGATTTATCTTGAAGATTACAAGTATATACTCCCCATCACTATTGTTGTAAAAATTGGTTATACATGTACATAGATTCTACTTTATTTTCTGTGGATAGCTTTCATGGATGCATGTTATCCCTCGTGAGATTTACAATTAACATTCACAAACTTGTTTCGTACAACTTTGAGTATTGAGAAAAATATAACTTAAAATCATGTTACTCACTCTGAATGATATCTACTTATTATGTATACGGTTAAAAATTAACGTAAAGTTCAAACTATTTTTAAAAAGAAATACATGTATATATCATATTGTAATATCCTACAGTCAGATGTCAATAATAAAGGGGGAATCGTTGTTTTTAACTTGACACACGTGTCTGTGTTCACATTTAGCCAGGTCCTTCAATTTCACATTCAGATATATTGACGGTGTGCCGTCTTTGAATAACAATTGACCACATTGATGGTATATACCCTCTATTGCTTGACCACATTGATGGTATATACCCTCTATTGCTTGAAATCAAAGATACAAAAGATACTACAGACTCCTCTTCAACAGTTGCTCTTCTCGATCTACAACATGGCCAACATGGGCGGCTTACAACTTCGCTCTACTATTTTCGACTTTCCAATCGTGAGCTTCTCTTTCTTCAAGAGCTTACAGTACAAGGTTTCCAAAGATGTAGATTAATGTAAAATATCGACAGTGTTCATTGTTATCATCATCATCATCTCATAGGGAAATATGTTATTTCTTTGTAAGATATGGAGGTCGATGTTATTGATTATGTTCATCAGAGTACCTTGTGGTTTTGTTGTGTGATATGAAGGTCGATGTTATTGATTATGTTCATCAGAGTACCTTGTGGTTTTGTTGTGTGATATGAAGGTCGATGTTATTGATTATGTTCATCAGAGTACCTTGTGGTTTTGTTGTGTGATATGAAGGTCGATGTTATTGATTATGTTCATCAGAGTACCTTGTGGTTTTGTTGTGTGATATGAAGGTCGATGTTATTGATTATGTTCATCAGAGTACCTTGTGGTTTTGTTGTGTGATATGAAGGTCGATGTTATTGATTATGTTCATCAGAGTACCTTGTGGTTTTGTTGTGTGATATGAAGGTCGATGTTATTGATTATGTTCATCAGAGTACCTTGTGGTTTTGTTGTGTGATATGAAGGTCGATGTTATTGATTATGTTCATCAGAGTACCTTGTGGTTTTGTTGTTACTACCAGAATTCTCGATGTGAGGACGTGACATTGCTTGGCTTTGACCTAGATTTACATGGCGGCTATCGTCGATGAAGCAGGAGACGCTTACCCTTCCAGAACACCTGGTATTCGTCTCCTTGTTCTTTTTGTCTTTGAATCAGCTGCACATCGGTTTGCAGATGATACCTTTTTATTATAATTATCTCCGTCATGTTATATAATTTAAACACCTTTGAATATGGATACTGAGTTTTTAAACTAATGGTCTACAATTTGGTTGGTAACATTTAGCTGATGTAATATAAAATTCTGTAGACATGGAGGAAGATTTGGACTTGGAATAGGATAAATAAATCATCCAAATCTAAATCATAAATACTTGGGAGTAGTTTATAATTAAAAATGCAACTTTACGGGGTCATGTTAATGCTACTTATAGTTCTGCTATGCTAAAAAAATAACGTCTTCCGATGATTGAAATATTCGATAAATCGAAATGTTCAGTTAAAAACTTATAAAAGTTGCTCGTATTATGACAGGCTTTACATTTGGAAACAGATCTAGAAACTCTTATTAATCAACGAAAACGAAGAAAACTTCAACTTTTATATAAAATGCTCAACTCCACATTATTTAAAAGATCTCTTGCCATCTCCGATTGCGGA